CTGTTCCGCTCTGCGTTGTGATTGCTATCCCTGTCGTTGTGACCTCTTCGTGAGCCGTTATGTGCTTTGCTTCAGGTTCACATTCTGGTTTCTTTTGTCCCCTCAGTTGCAATCGGTTCCTTCTGATTAACTTCCCCCCAATACTAACTTCGCAAGATCATTCTCCGCCCTTCGCGTTTATTGTACCTTTCTTCCATCGCTTATTGATACCAGGATTTAGTTGAATCCACACTTCTTCGTTTACTGGTAGCTCAGGTAGCGCCCAAGTACTGCGGTCATAATACTTTTTCTTATTTGTCATCCGTTTTCTCACACTTCTTTGTAATTACACATGTGACCGCAAGACCGGTTGTAAAATCTTAACAGAAAAGGCATTAGAGTGCTTTTTCTTCTGTTGTACAGGCGTTGCACTTGTTTGCGAATGACGTTCGACGATGGCTTGCTTCAAATCTCCAACATTTTCATACGCGGGTTTCGTGGGGGTCTACCCTTCGACAACAGGCTTTTGACTTGTTTCATTGCCACGTTTGCTTTTCCGTTCGACTGGCCGTGGTGGAGACTGGTTTGTAAACTGTGAGCCATTGTCTGAGATCAGTTTCTTCTCTAATCCGTATCGGACAAACTGATATTTAAGCCTATTGATCACTGCTTCCGTGATGGTAGCGGTGAGTGGATCGATTTCGAGGTAGTCACTGTGATAATTCACTGTGATTAAACAGTCTCATTGTCACAAATCAAGTCCACCGCTTCTTTATGCGTCGGCAGCTTTGGAACCTCAAACAGCATGATCGATTCCCTGACTTGGTGAGCCTCGTGGAACCGGCAGTCTGCACAGCTTCCTCCTTGATTTCATATTTGACTTGTCATCCCGAGCCAGAACATCAGTTTACATGCTCTGCTATTGGTATAGTTAACACCCAAGACGGCTCGATGAACGTGTTCTAGCATCCGTTTGCGAAACAACGGTGGAATGCAAACGCGATTTCCTTTGACTAGTAAACCGTCCTACGCCAAAAGTTCATCCTGAAAATTGGTGAATGACGTCTATTTCTTTCCGAGTTTGTTCTTTGTGTCTACCAGTCCTCTCAAAATCACGTTTCGCAACGCCGCGCACATCGCGTCCGCCCCCGTATGACACTGTATTTATTGCAAGCGAAATACCCTTGACTTCAGACATTGTACCAGATTCACAGCATTAAGTTTTCCTGTTGGTGTTCAGCTATCTGAAGATGAGCTCTCGACAGGGTGTCGATGACGAACATAAGCGCCCCTGGAGTGCACACAAGATCCATTTCGTATTTCTGTAGCCGGATAAGCACACATTAAAGGCGTCAAGGTACACGGTGTAACAGCTTACTGGTTTTTGATACGAGCGGTTCATAGTCAATCTACACGATTGCCTACCTTCCGGAGGTGTAAATATTGAATCGCTCCATCGCCCAGACGACAACGAACATCTCCTGGATCTATGCATAACGCCGTTCCGCCACCGTGAGCGCCCAACTGCGGAAAGCCAAGGGTTTGCTATCTTGCATGAGAACAGCGCCTATTCCGCTCTAGCTGTTGTAACATTGCATCTCCAAAGGCAGAGCTGGATCGTACTAACACTGTACTGACGCACAGCTAATAAGATGCTTGGTGGTTCTAAAGGAGGCCTTATGTCCCCCCCCCCCAACTCCACTTTATACCCTTGTGTGTCAGCTACCGGATGGACGTCATGATTTCAGCTAGCTTTGGCAAGAACCGACTCAAATAATTCACCGCGCAGTTTAAACGCTTAACAGCGTTGACTTCCTTAGGTTTTGGCATCTGTACTGCCTTGATTTTTTTCGGGTTCGATATTTATTCCCTCGGATATCAGAACGTGCCCGTGAAAAATCACTTACAGTTTCCGGAGCTCAGCTCTCGCGTTTGCACGTAACGCTGCAAAAATGTGGTGCAGATTGTCGTCATGTTCCTGTCCTGTTGAGCCGTAACTCAACACATCGTCTGTTACACACGCTCCGTCTAGATCGTCAACCGCTGGCAATAACCGCTTCTGAAAAATTTCACTCGAAACCTTTAAACCAAACGGTAAAGGTAGCAATCGAAAGCATCCGAAGGGTGCGACAAACGTCGTCAAGAAACTGGGTTCTTCGTCTAAGACCAGGTGCCAGGACGCCGACGATGGATCAACCTTGGTTAAATGTTTCACCTTGGCCAAACACGGCAGAACACATAACGTTGGCAGTTTGTAGTTTTATCTACCTAAGATTTCATTCAGGGGCTTGGGATCTCTGCACAGATGCAAATCACCGATTTTTTCTAATAATCGCACTTGGAAAACCCAATCTATCGTCGTTTCAATCTTAGCGATTACGCCCAACTGCATCAAGTTAGTTAACTCAGTGCTAAATACGTCACCTAAAACAAATTAAACCCTTCTAGCCGGTAGCGCAGTCGGTCGTATTGACGGATCTAGGGGCAAATAAATCGAATCTTCAAACCTCCCCAAACCTGAGCTAAATGGATGGATACTGTTCTGTAACATCGCTTCACACGCATGTACAAAACGATCATGATTAAAATGAACAGAGCCAAGACACTGGATGGAATCGATGCCAAGAATCAGCGTAAGCTCTTCCACGACCACGAGATCCAATTGATGTGGAGTCGTCTTTGGGATTGATCACTTTGGCCAAGTTTTTCGGCTGGATCTTGGAACCATTCCACATGTGCAGGGCTCCCTGATCAGGTCGCACATGAATTCCTGAGCACCGCTTCGCTAGTATTATGTTGATGGCAGCACCTGTGTCTAGCTGGAAGCGCATCATTTCCTCACCAACCAACAAAATTGCGTAGACGCGCTTCTTTGGTCCCATCTGCGATAGCTTGATAGTTGAATGTTCAGAGCCTGAGAGCGTTGTATCACGGTTGAGTGCACTCACCTTCAGACTGAACACCGTGCGAAACGATTCCGTCCGCTGTATTTGGCGCAACTTCCGCCCCACGCCGGACATTGGTCGCAATCTTTCGAGTGATGCACGGCGCAGAATCTGCAATTTTCATGTGTCTTGATAACAGGCATTGCAGTTTTGTCTGGTGAACTGGATATAGCACAGGGCTCTGCATCAGTCAATATCCGCATTTGTTTTATGTAGTGTAAAGCTGACGGCCCACTGTAATATATATCAAGGCATATATCGATACCTGCCGTTGCCGCAACAGCTGCTTGGTGTTGTTTTCATTATTAATCCCCAGCACGCTTCTATCTCTAATGTGACTGTCAGCCATACAATTGCAAAAATTACGGGGACAAGGCAAAATCTTCAGCTCCGTCACATAGTTCTCGATAGTTTCATTAAAGCACCTGTTTTGGGTAAAAAAAGATAGATAGCGCTGGTACGTCTCGTTAGTCTGGCCCACGCAGAAATCGCCGAATTTTCCTATGACTGTTTCCAGATCAGCCGGGTCTTTGTCTTTTTCCTACTGCATCGTTTCCAGCACGCTGCGTGCTCCATCTCGATCGTATGTCGAAACGTTGCCAGGCGATCGTGCATCAATTGTTCGTTCAGATGCACCAATACGCAGAAATCGATCCACTTGCTTTTCCAGACGCTCCAATTACTGGTCAAACTGTTCTTCCATGTTCAACGGGACAGGTGTTTGCACGCCTGCTTGCGCTTCAATCAGCAGCGGAGCACTATTTGCTGATCTTGCTTTGGTCTTCTATGGCACCATGTCACAGCACTCGGTCCTTCAGGGACAAACGGTTTATTCGACAAAGCAAGCTCAGCAAAATTGACAGCATAACTAGCATGTAGAAACCTCGATGTAAATAACTGGGTCACTTCCATAACTAACGATGTTTCTCCATTCATGAGATACTTCCTTTGAATCAGTTAAACAAACCTGCTCTAGCGTAGCCAAATACGAGCCAATCAGCGCAAAGGGGAATATGCGTTGTCGTCCAGTCAGCTGGTCTGCTTGCTTGCAGCAAGCTTGCCGCTTGCTTCATGTAAATCCGTATCGTTCTTCTGCCTGCATAATCCCATCAAAGTGGGAAAACCGGATGAGCAATGTTTAGGCCCGCCGGTTAATTTTTGCTTAAGCACAGCCGCTTACGTTGGCTAGGTCATGTCCTCCGTATGCCCTTTGACCGAAATCATCGGCGTGCATTATAAGCCACGGCTGCATCAAATTGAACGAAGTTGCGAGGTGGCCAGTCGATGACCTTGCGTAAAGTTGTGAAGGAGTTGCTTGAGATACTTGGTCATGCTAGAGCATGCCGTCTTCGTAGATGGGGGCGCAGGGATTGTCTACACCAGTGGTTAGAAACGGTCACGTAGTCAGTGGTGTTCCTGCATTTGGTTTCTTGCATTTAGTTATTCAACTTTATTCCATCCTGGTTCGTTGTGCGCGTCACTATCGCGAATCACTTTTCTTCATATTCTACTTACATTCAATCTCTTTCATCTCGTCGTTACTTATTGTTATTCTGGTGATATGAGCCGTGACAATTGGATCCCCCGCACTTCAGTTTCCAGATCATAGTTGCTCAACCGAACTTAACTAAAAAGTGACTACAACCTTTCTCACATTTCCCTGATGCGGGGACAGTTTTGTTTCCCCGTTTGGCGGAGGACTTATGCAACTTCTTAGTTATCTTTTACTTCATTCTAAAAGTTTTATAAGTCCGTAACACAGAATCGCTCTGGATAATGTCAACTACACTACCCATCTCTATTTGATCCGCCGCAACCTGGGCACTTGACATGATGACTGTTGACACAACTTGATTTCCATTGGTGTTAAGCAGACCTAAACTTATTAGGACGAAAATGTCTTCACGGGTGACGTGCTTCATTCTAAGTTCCCCCCCCCCCACGTCGGTCCACAGATCTTGTTTGATTTACTGACCTGAACTAAAATTCTGTTTGTTTGCCTTACTTATGCCTTCATTTATTGCTTTCTCGTCTTCCTTACTACCTATCAACTGCCTCACATCGACGTTTGAGTAGCTCGTCCTGAGCGCGCTTCTCGTACGCTCGGGCCAGCATACGCTCAATCTGATCGCAACCGGATAATTTGCGCCGACGTCTGCTCAAGTCTGCGCGTGCTGTTTGATAACGTGTCCGAGTTGTACATCAGATCGGATGAGAGAAAAAACGCAGTGTACGGGTAAGCATTTCATCCTTATGTTTTTTGTTATATGCAAAGCATTCCATTAGATTCTCACATTTTCATTTTGACGTATATGGGGCCACTAGCAGCCCGGCTTCTAGTCTATTTGGATTCAACTGTCACATAGCTGGGCTGAGCTGACTCGCGTTCTCGATTTTATTCTTCTTTTTTCTACCACGTGCATTCCTTATTATCCACGTTAGCTGGAGGTGGAAAACGCCTCAGCTACTGTGCCATAATACGTGAAAGGAAAAAACCCAAAAAACATGCAACAGATTCATGCCAACTGAGCTACTACTAACGGATGGGCATCGTTCCGGAAAGCTACCAGCCGGCTACTATGCGACAAAAAGTTTACTACACAGAATTATAGTACGCTAAGAAATGTGGTCGCGTTTGGAGTGGGAGCCTAAGAGGGATGGGGTGGGACAAAGCAACTCACAACACGAACGCCATTGAAGTCCGTTCCTAGCCATGTCCGCAAGTGTATCCAGCCAAATGTGTTCATCGTCCTTCGTACCCCAACCAGGGAGCCAAAACGCTCCAGCCGAGGCCAGCTTCGAAGTGATGGTCTTCATTCCTCTTGACCAAGTCATCGCTTGGCCACCCCTCATGTTCGGGCAAGTGCTGCCTGTTGACCGATCTTTAACAATGTGCGTACATTGAGGCCTGCCAATCTGAAGGAGGATGGAGGGCTCCAAATGGAAGCCGATGAACTGGGCTTGACCGCTTGCTTGTACATGGGCTGGTTGAGAGGACAGAAATGACGTTCCGTGTTCGTATTTGAATTGAACTTAGAAGCCAAACGCCTATCATAGGAAGCTGGAGGAGGGCCAAGAACTAGCGGGTTGAAAACAGGGGGAATAAAAGTGAAGCTGGAAAGGGACGATAAGGGTGATAAGCATAATAGAGGGAATAAGAAGATGAGAAGGCTTAAGTAGTAGCGTCCAAACCCTTATCCATCCAGCTCGATGCAACAGATAGGGCACCGTTGATTATCCTCTGCGGTGGCCAGAGCATCAGCAAATTGTTACAGGAAAAATTCATAGTATTGCATGTGCAGGATATTGGCAGGTTGCCCAGGCCTAGACCGGAGCACAATTAGGTTTCTCAACCAAAGCCTTTGGTTCAAAACCCCGACCGCAAGGCAGCGTGTTTTAAGGCATATGGAGCCACCCTCATTTCAACCCCTAACCTGGAGGACTAGGAGGCAGAGTTTGTCTGACCTCAAACCATTGACCAATCTGGTAGTAGTGGCTCTGAGGGTGCAAAAAAGCGCCACCCAGCGTAGCTCAGTGGATCTCTGAAGCAAGCAAACCATCGCACCACGGTAAAGTCCAGCCTCATTACAATGGACTGCCACCTACACGCACTATCGGATGAATCCTGGAACCACATACGCTTACTCCAACTACTCTTCGTACACATGTAGACTAATGCGGGCGGATGCTGCTGCGTTTTGTCATATTCCTAGATGCAATAGCTCTCCATCGATACCAGAGCTAGGATCATTTTTTCGGTAGTTGAAATGATAACGTAGCGTTCTTTCCTGTGGGTTTGTGAAAGATACTGGATACGGTGTTTGTGTCATGAACTGTCCATACCCGTTAAGAGTCGTAAAGTTGTCATTGTTAACCGACGAATATTCTTCACTTCCCACCAGTAGGTTGTTTTGCATGTAAGTAAAGAGCTTGTGACAAATCCGGAGACACGTACCACCAGCCACTACCCTGATCATTATATGTTTCGTTTGGATCGAGCAATTCTTGGGAGACTCAAAGATACTTAATGGGTTTTCGTTGACCACTCAAACAATTGTTGCCTACGTGAATGAGTTATTGCTACTATACTGATAACCTCACTTCTCTACCAGTTTGTTCTAATTAGCAGCTGTGTCAAGCTGATCAGACACGGCTGCTATGTCTAGCAAGCTACAATGATTAACCGGTCGAACGTCTGTTTGTATTCTAATGCCTGCCGGATCGTAAACGTGCGCCCCGTAAGACCGTTATCAGAACTTAACTGTCTACGCTTCTCTTGTGTTGCTCTCGTGTACCCAACTAGTTCTGTGTTAAGGTGAAGTGTCGAGCACTTTGACGCGACATACATGCGCCTACTCCATGGAGGATTGATGCACTCCGTTCGGTTACTACTTTTTGAAGACAAGATGACTTCTGTATTCTATCCCTGTTTGGGAAATGATTGTTGCTTCACAAGCCTGTGATGGATCTCCACCTTCGAATTGGGGTCCAGGGGAGTTTGTTCGCTGTCGCTTCAGAAGGCGACGTTTACGCGAACCATCAACTCCAGATTACGATGAAAGTTCCTTTAGGTAAAGTCACACTTTTGGAGCCTGAAGGGGAGCTCTAGCTGATTGATGGCCATTTCATCTGCTGTTTGCAGTATTCCACCCAACATGTGGTCCGACCTTGGTGGCTGGAATTTGCTACACCGATGGTTTCGCGTAGAAATTCTTTTCTGATGAGCCATTTCTACTCATGGCTCAGATCAGAGGAGGAAACCTGTTAAATCGCTTAATGTGATTTGATTTTAAGTAGCTGGGACTGGAAACCGCGAGTCGCCGATCTGTTTGTCCACATGTAGTGTGGGCGTAGATCCTTCCCAGTTACTCATCTCTAAGGGATCGGACTCTGAGTCTAAGGCCTTTAAACGCTGACTTAGAATGCAGCAGTGTGGCCAGTGTGTATGGCGGGTCGCTAGGAACTTGGGATCGAGGTCTGGATGCCACGCTTTTGGAGTAGTCTCGGAGTGCTCAGCTTGGCCATTAGGGCTCTTCTGAAGCATCATGGATGCCAATATTCATTTTGGCTCCAAAATTTAACATTTTACACTAAACTTTTGATTAGTGGGTGGCGAATTTATGTAGAAACCGATTCTCATCCGCTCTTCGCCGTGTATTCACTTTTTGTTGCAGATGTAGGGGATCAACGACCCTATATCCGACACCTTGGCCTGGCATTGCGTCGCGCGACGTTTTGTATCACTTTATCCCGAATCTAGTGTTCGACCGAGGGCGCCGTAAGTTCTAATAGGTTGCTGTCAGTCGTTCTTGACCACCCCAACGCTCACTTTTGAAGCTTTTTCAATGTCGCCTCCACAAAGTAGGCATCCCAGCAGTCAGGAGACGCACCGGTCAGTATACCGCACGTTGTACCAAGGCTGTCGCTCGAGGAACACATATACCATATAAATAGAAAGGTTATGGGAAATGTGAGGTGGTTCGTCATCATGGTAATAAGCAACAGTACATTAGTAATTTGAACTTATGCCTCGGACTAGTGATAGTTAAATTAGAGGGTCTCCGTGTTAATCTTAATTGCCTTTAGGAAATAATCTGATCCTACATTTTATCAACAGCACACCGTCACAAGCAGCTGACTGCCCTGTGGAGATAAGGTGATGTAGAGGGGACAGCTTCCTCGTAGGTTCTACTGCTCCCCATTCATACTCAGCCAGTGCCCGCAGATAGCGCTACCTTAGACACTGCAAACAGCTAGTCCGATTCGAAAATCGCAATAAACGCACCGCTGGTATTGACTGCGAATGAAATGCCGTAGAGTTTCCAATCATGCTCAAGTTGAATCGCGTGAATTGCAACATGGGAGGTGAGACAGACCAACCCACCCAATCTAGTCGTTATTGACTCCATCTCTTACTGTCAAGTTAACGGTCGCCTTCTTCAAGTCTTACGTCATCCTGCTTTTGGCAGCCAAAATAAAAGCTTCTCCGTTATACGACGACCGACTATACGTAACCTGTATCAAATTCAACCCAATTTGTTGCTCTAGGCATCTGTCCTGATAAGCACTGCCGAGCATACGCCTGCACACCTCATCGCGGACCCGCTGGTGGCATACGACACCAATAATATTTCACAACAAGACTAGACCTTAATGTGATGTGACGGTTTTCCCACATCGTCGACCCATGAAGCTATACTGCTTGGTCCCCTGACCCCTGAGACCTACACCTACCAGTTTGGTCAATCATTGGTCGTATATATATATATATATATATATATATATATATATATATATATATATATATATATATATATATTCAACGCTGTACCAATTACATTATAATTGGCTGAGTGCCACAACACATAAGAAGAAAAAAAGGATAGTGTCAAAGGGAAAACAACTGTTAGGGTAGAAGAGTCTCACAGCAAGTGCGCCATTGCGTACGGTCCTTGGCCATATCCTCCAGCGTTTGCAACCAGGTGTGCTCGGGGTCCTTTAGGCCCCAACCCAGGAGTCGGGAACGCCCGACAACAGCCAGCTTCAACGTTTGCGCCTTAACGCATTGGATCGAAGTTTTACATTGCCCTCCTTTTCGTCGCTTCCAAGCCACGCCTGTGCTCGCAAATAGGGTTCGTCGTGGTAGCCGCTGGGTAGGCATGCGAAGCGCATGTCCAAGCCAGCGAATCCTCCGCAGTGAGATGATGCTATCAATCGGTCGGCGGAATTCATTAGATCTGAAGACTCGCCGACGGATTTCCTCATTATTGATGTGATGCTGCCATCGAACACCAGCAATGCTGCGCAGGCAGCAGTGATCGAAGACCGATAGCCGCTAAACATCGTTTTTGCTAACGGCCGTACAGCGGAATCGCTCGTACCGTAGCATTATAGACTCGTCATTTGAGAGCGAGGTTAAGATCACGAGGAAGCCACAGGTGACGAAGGTTAGCGAAAGCGACTCTAGCATTGGAGACACGCAGGGAGATCTCATCTGTCAAACCGCCAATACTAAGACAACTCCCAAGATAAATGAATTTGTTGACCACTTCCAACGGATGTCCCGAAAGGGTTGGAGAAGGAAATGCGCTTGGCCAGTCCTATAATAGAACCTTACGTTTGGAAGGGGGCAAAGCTCAACCCAAATTGGGTGGCGGGCATCTCCAGTCTGAGCAGCACATGCTGCGTGGCTTGGGAGGACTCACAAATCCCAACCATGTCATCGGTGTACTTTAC